AATTAAGTATAAAATTTTTCAAATTTAAAAATTTGTTACTAGATAACTATAAAGTATGCAAATATTTGTTTGTTTTTAACACTTTTTATAAAGAATTCTTGATTATATTGGTAAGATAGTTTATTTGTATAATTTATGTGTATTTTTCTTTCTTTGCGTGATAATTCAAAGGGATGTTCTCAAATATACGTTACCTCACATTTTTTGTTAACTCATAAAGTATATGTGATTAGATTTTTAAAAATATTTCACTCATAGTAGTACTAATTAAAAAAATCAGGCGGTTTATTGCAGGTCTACCTAATAACATTTTATTATATAGCCGGCATTGAGCAGTAGACGCAATTCTGAGTTTACGACTATCTATGTTCAACTACGTAGCCTTGTAATTTTGAACCCACCTCAGAAGACGAGAAAACTCATAGATCAAGCATTGGGACAAACTAGTTTTGCGGAGGTCTTTTTGATGAAACGAATTCGCATTTGCGTTATAGTGAGAGGAAAACCACGAAAACATCTCACCGTTAGCCCGAAAAACCTTGTTCCATCTACCACTGAGGATATCTTACGAGTGCACTGTGTTCGGTGCAAGTCGGGACCGGTATTCGAATCTACCAGCAACTACCCAAACTAGGGCATCTCATTGAGAGGTGAACGCTCTATTTACCGCATAATATTTACTGCAGTTCTGATAAAATTTGTCAACAAATTTTTAAAATAAAATATAAGAAAAATATTTAATTAAGTATTTAATTTAAATTTCAAAATGATTCCGTTGAATTTATTTTTACGCAAAAACACTTAAATTATTTACTTATGATAGAACTCCGATGTTAAGCATCACTGGCTGCTGTCAGTCTGAAAGTGGGTAACCACTTTGATCAGCCTGCGTAGGGACTGAGGATGCGCCGTATCGGTCCGCGTTAAGCTATTCTACCATATAGTGCTCGACTTCGTGGGCAGGTCGTCGACCTACCAAAGCAGGGGAGCCATCCCCTCTGCTGAGGATCAAAATTGCGATGGTATGTCTTCGGATCATCCTCAGGGATGTTTCCCAGACCGTCGCCAATAGCCCATTGTGTAGCTCTAATGCGACGTCAATAAAGTACCTACCTACCTGCATATGAGTTATTTTTACTAAAATTAGTAACAAAAAAAAAACGTTTATATTTTAAATGCAATAGCTATAAAATATATTTTAAATTATTTGAAAGAAAGGTTTCAGAAGAGCATCAAAACAAAAACGTTAAATGACTTAATATGGGACTAAAATGTTTATAACTTCATATTCCAATATTTTTATTTTCTATTCGCGGGAGCTGAAAAGTTTTTCACTTGTGAAGAGGACAGTGAACCCTCAATGATAAATCGCGATAAAATAATGTTAAGCACTCAAGAAATATTTTTAATCATTTTACAAAAAAAAAAAAAAAAAAAAAAAAAAAAAAAANCCAGAATCTGTGCAGTAATAAAAATAATTTTTTTCTATCGTTTAAAGTTCTTAATTTATAAACATAAAATCGATAAAATTTATAACCATTTTCAGAAACTTTACGTAATCATGATAAAATAAATAGTGTCTGATAAACATTGTAGAGAAAAGTGTGAAAATCATGAATTTTTTTATAATTTAGAACGACAATCGACAAGGAAAAGAAAAAAAATCGCGTTTTAAAAGATAGAAAAATAAGCACTTTTTACAATTCCCGAATGAAAAAGCAACTTTAAGGGCCTTTAAAAAACGTTAATCAAAAATAAGAAACTTTAAGCACTTTTTAAAAACGCTACGCACCTTGTCTGCGATTAGGTATTAACGAGGTATCATAAATGCAAAATAAAGACTGGTTTATTTTTTCTATTTTCAATTGTTATCGCTTTAAACACTCATGACTCATTATTCAAATTTCAGAAGCAGAATCAATTAGAATTCGAGCGCTTTCTGCCATTGCGAACATTTATCTTTTATTAAACCTATTACAGTAGGTAAAATAACACTCTTAGTGTTTTGACTTAGATTTGTGGCGACGAAAGGCTGATGACAATGATAAAGAATAGAATTCATTCCCCCCTCCCAGATAGTGACTTATTTAGGACGAAATCAGCGGCTGATTTACATTTTATTTCATCTGTAGACTCAATGTTTTTCATTTCTTTCGGGAAGTGATTTAATTTGTTGTGAGCATTCCCACAAAAACAATATGAACACCTTTTAACATGCAATTAATGGATTTTTCCGTATCGTGATCTGTCGCGCCAACTACACTCGCCAAGATGCCAAATAGATTTCAAACTTACAAATTTAAAAAAAGAAAACAAGCAGATGTTTGCCCGGGGGTGGCTACTAGTTATACCTTTCAAATTGGTCCCCTTCTGTGATGTTTTTTTTTAGTTTCTCGTGGGCAGCTGCCGGGAAGTTGCCAAGACTTGGCAATTATTCTACCACAGATAACGATATGGAAATCTTCCCATTTATAGCATACATTTTTATCTTTAACATGTCTATTCGCTCATACACTGAAAGTCTTCTAAATTTAGGACAAAAGTATAATGGACTTTTTTCATTACTCAGACACGTATCACAATTATTATTTTTATCCTCATTTAAAAATACTCTATTCGCGGTTTTATATTTGCTGTTATATGCCCTTAGTTCATTGTTGTTGTAGTTCATTTACGTCGCACTAGAGCTGCACAATGGGCTATTGGCGACGGTCTGGAAAACATCCCTGAGGATGATCCGAAGACATGCCATCACAATTTTGATCCTCTGCAGAGGGGATGGCACTCCCGCTTCGGTAGCCCAACGACCTGCACGCGAAGTCGAGCACTTTACGGTAGCACAGTTTAACGAGGACCAATACCGCACACCCTCGGTCCCTACGCAGACTGATCCAAGTGGTCACCCACCCGCACACTGACCGCAGCCAGTGA